CACTGATCGTACGAAATACGGGCGATCTATAAATGTGTTAATCCGTTATCTCACTATTTTGTCATAAATTTGATAATATCTTTTGGTTCGCTGACTTTGTTATCATCTACGTTGCACAATATTTCAAGCGACGTAATATGCAAATGAAGAAAAAGTAGCGCCAGGTATGCGCGGCAAAAAGTTGAATAGGTACGTAATTTTGCCGCCCACGTGCAGTCACATCATCGTATCTAAGCGTTACGTCGGTCGAAGAGAAGATTGCGTCGATAAGTCCGTAGCAAACATACGGCAAGATTAACGCGTCCGTTGGGTCTACATTTTATCTAAATGCATCTCCCAGCGCTGAATTTGCAGTTTCACGCAAAAATACGAATGCGGTAACGCAATTCAGCACGCCCGGAGATCCATTATGATATATCTGACACCTTCGTGTTGTTTTTACGCCAATCCTAATACGCGTTTCCCCGGAGACTTTAAAAATTATTATTATTAAACCGCGGGGAGTAGACATTCTTGTCCGTTTCGCGCGCTGCGCTGCGAACTTTGCGGCAGCGATGCCTGATGGAATTTCCGCGTTGTATCCAAATGAAGACATCGCGGACGAACAGTTTGATCAAGATCGCATATTTTAACGGAAATTTTATTAGATACACCGTCCGGAATCTTCGACACGTTAAGGGTGGGGGAAATTGAAATTCCATATTTTCACCCGCTCGTCGTTACCGTCGATGTGGGTGATGCTGGCGCGAGAATAATTTAAATAGGAAATCGGAATGTCGTCGTCGCTGCTACGCCGCTTTTCTCTCTTTCTCCCTCTCTTTCTCTTGTATTTTATCGCGCGACTTTATTAGAGAAGAAGAAGCCTATGACGTAATCTGATGACGCGTAATTTAAGTAAAAAGAAAATGCAAAGGAGTAAAATTGGGCTAATTTAACGAACAGCAGATAATGAAATTTAAATCTCTGCCGGCTTTCATCTTACTGCTGTCAAATTTCCTTCCTCCGCGTGAGATGAGATTCGCCCTCGTGTCGTCGCCGGAGATTCAAATAGCACCGAAGCGAGAGACACTTCTAAACACGGCAGCCGTGGCAATGTAGCCCGTCAGAATTAAAATAAAAAGTACGGTTGACGTACGCAATCTACGCTCTAGATTCTCGAAATTCCTCGAAAAAGATTCCGTTATTTATTGAAATGTCATGTTTTTACACACGTGATGCAAGCGTTGTCTTCGTATTATTTGAAAATAAAAGAGATAAAAAATAATAAATAAAAATTCTTTTAATAAAAAATATAAATGTACAATTTTTTTATAAACATATAATTAATTTCCATTTGTTTGTGTAAAAATTCTAATAAAGACATTTCCAATACGGTATAAAAATTTGTATAGTATAAAATATCAAATTTGCCGATAAATAGTTTTCAAAATGGTTTATTTATGAATAAAACTTTCGGCGAAACACGCGCTTGAATCTAGAATAGTTTACGCATAAATATCGATCCGAAAACACAAACGTATATATACACAACAGAGATAAAAACTGTGAGCCGTGAAATTCAGCTGCGAGAAAGAGAGAGAAAATAATACTATTTTTCTATATTACATTTCTTGCAGATATAACCGAAGCATCTGAACTGCAAAACACGTTTGATTTTTTGTAAAATGTAACGAGCGCGCATCTCCGGAAACAACTGCAAAAACAATCGAAAAATCCTGTCGAATCTTGTTGTCTTTTCTTTGTTTCGTGTTACAGTATATTTGTGTGTGTGTGTGTGTGTGTGCGCGCAACTGTAAATGCATCGCGTGTATCCAGTAACTAGCCATAGCAAAACCGATTAAGATGAGCTATACGTGAAAAAAATTGAATATCAGATTCATTATTAGTTGCGACACAACTATCGCAGAAGTATCTTTTCCCGCTTCAAGTTGGCGAAAGTTGTACTTGAGTTTCCGAAAGTTTTATATAATTTAAATTATTAGTTGAGAATATATATTCACGATTTGCGCGTACATTTAACATGACGTATCAAAAACGTTCGTATTTTTGTTCTTTTAAAATGTAAATATACCTAAACATCGCATATGAATCTTCCGTGTCCACATTTGATATTTGTTTTAGCTAGAAATAATCCAATATTTAAGTTTAACATAAAATTCAAAATTTAACCGACACTTAAAATTACACTCGTGCGATTTTCTTTAGAATTACAATTTGCGGCTCTCGCTTTTATCGTTCGGGCACATTGTTCGGGTGCCCAATGCAGATTAGCGTATATCAAGACAAAGGCTTCAAGGTTGACAAGCGCTCGATTTCGTAAACGACTTGACACTCTTAGAAGGTAGTTATTTAGTACGGACACGGAGTCGACGGTGGTCTAACCAGTTTGTTTGTTAGACCCAGACCCGGTCAATTCTCAAGGGACTGATTTCTCCATGGCGAAGGTGGTTTTCCGAGTCTCACTGTGACCACATCGAATATTGTATTCGCGTTACTGCGCTCGTAAAATCGACACTATAAGGCCATTCGGGTAATGGAAAAGGTTATATTGTCCGTAGGATAGGGAAACACAAATTATTCTTTTTCATGATACGCGAAAACGGCCGAAATATCGAAATGTCGGTTATTACGGGCGCACAATTAAAGTTGCACATTTTATAGTATGGATAAATAAATTAATATCTTTGACAATTAATAATCATTAAACGCATCATTTGAGATGTTACGTGAAAATTTTACCTACAGGAATACATTAATGCCATGTTTACCTAGCCGCTAAAACGCGATAATAACTCCATTATGTCGCATTGTACTGGATATTAAAAAGTCTCTTTTGACGTGTACTACAGTGCACAGGAGAGCTTTTATCTATGCAGTAATAGAATTTCACTAATTCTATTAAAAGTTAATTTGAGAGAACCAGCAGACCAGAAAGCCGCTTTGCATAGTAAAGCAAAGTATATGCTGCTGTATACATATCGTTATAATAAACGACGTTTTTTAAAAATATGGGAAATTGTAGTTGTTGTAGAGAGTGACAAAAACAGCAATTTACTTTATCATTATTGTACGGCGAGTGTTTGTTTCATTTAACAATCAGGAATCTAATTTTTGCTCGAAGCAAAATTATAAAATCTTAAAATTATCTAATTAACTAATTAAATTCCCTCTGTATATTTAAAATTTGAATTAATAAAGTATAATCGTGAATATAACAGATACGCGCGTGAAAATTCCACGCACATAGAAAATTCGTACGCAAATTTTAATCACCTAACCACCTCCCTGTTTGCTACAATGATAATTACTCTTAGCTTCCCGCTCAATTGTAAGCATTATAGCTATCGGTAGTACATTGTTGGAGCATTTCGAGAGTACGCGCACGGAGAATTTCATCGGAGAACAGAAATAGAATGCGAATCCTCTCATTCGAGCGGGATATATTGTCGAAGAGCACTCATAAGATGCTTATGCTTGATAATCGTAAGAGCAAGATTATGCCATATTACTCTATAAATTTCGATAATAGGGAAATAAAAGGGCACGCAATTAAATAAAATCGTTTCCATAGTCACATTAGATAAAATTAATTCAGATTTAAATGGCCATTTCTCTCTCTTGTTAATACGATTTTTAGGAAGATATAGGAAATCAATTGAACCCCAGTTAACTTTAATTAATATTTATGACAAGATCCAAATATTTAGTCCAATATAACAGTGCAATGCCCAATAAAATATTATATGCCTCGTTAAAATACTTTAACTAAACTATGAAAAAAGTTAATTAAACAAGTTTCTTTATATATATATATATATATATATATATATATATTGTAGATCTATAGGAAAGCTTGCGTGTAAACAGGAAAAGTACCAAAGATTACACGTGTAATATTACATGTAGCGATTGGGGGTTTCGCAGCTCGAAATGCCGCTGAACGTCGTCGATATTTTACAACTTTAATCCGCGGGCGAAAAATATTTCATCACGCAGCCTTAGCTATATCAAACGCAAGGCACGTCGACGAAATGGTCCGGTGGATTAAACGAGGGCGCATTTTGGCTTTGTGCTTTACGATAACAGTTGGCGATTTGCGGCCGCGGAAATAAATCTGTTGCAATCGTGCGCAGCTGCAATCGGCTACTACATTGGCCGCAATCACTGTTTTCACGAGAAATAGCTAACAAGTTTCGGTCATTGAAATAGCAAATACCTTTTACAATGCTGAATACGTAATTAAATATTAATGCTAAAATATTTAAATTTATTAAAGCCTCAACTTAAAACTGCGCCGCGTCAATATAACTAAGAGTTATTTTATTATTTTAGTTTTTTTATTTTTCTTTTTTATTTTTTGTTTTTTTATTTTTTTTTATTTTTTTTTTTTTTTTTTTTTTTATTCATTTCTACATATATTATTTTACTTATTTTTTATTTTGTAGCAGACAAAAGTTGAAAATAATTTTTAAAATTTGATTAATATAAAATTGCTATAAATTTAATTTCCTAGTTTCATGGTTTTTGAAGTTTTGAAAAAGTTTCAAAGTTTTGTATTTTATATACTTAATTTTTCTTTACTGTAAAGAAGGAAAAGATGGTAATCTTCTAATTGCAGAGTACTTCAATCTTTCCAATCTACTGCAAAATACTTGCATCCTTATCGCCCGACCATAAAATCTCTCTCTTCTTTTTTAAGGATATCCATCCCTTGGGGAATAAAGTATTATCATGAAATCGACCCCGTTTTTTTAAAACCTGAAACTTTAATCTAGATAAGAATACCAACCTAATTCAGCTATGGGCGGTATTCATAGTCCGTTCTTATATTTAAAATCGTCTTAAGCACGGACTTATATTCGCTCTCTTCGTCACACATAGATTGTGTCTGACGAAGAGAGTGAATATAAGTTCGTGCTTAAGACGATCTTGAATATAAGAACGGACTATGAATACCGCCCTATGAAACTGTCAACATATTCCATGACTTTACTCTTCAGATCACGCTCGACAGAAGTCGCTGTTGCGACATCAAATCTGGATATGGTGGGTTGTACATCTACAATGTAGTACTTATACCTGGGGCAACATAACCTCGAATTGGAGATAGTTAACCCGCTATCTACGAATGAACTGTCAATTCCGGTGTGCAGAGGGGCGTGTTTTGCGACCGTCAGGAGAGGCCGGGGAAATTCGTGTAGACTGACCAGAGTCCGCGAATTTCCGTGCGTGCTACCGGTGTACACGATCGCCTGGGCGCTAAAATTTCGTTTAACAAAATCTACTTGGTGGCCGCGCCCGTCAAGCGTTCATCTCAAGTGGTAACTGATTCATCGCCACTGCCCTTCGACATCTTGCCTCGCCTCGTTGCCGATTCGCTGAGTTTTCGTTTGCGCGTGATCGTCCTCGAGGTATCCTTTTCACAAGTAGCGAGCGCGAAATGACGGAGGTTCATAACTTCGGTGTCGATGCCATCAGTTGTCATGCGTGGAACAGGGATAAATCAGGTACGAAAGCTCTCAATTTCAGTTTAATAAGTTGTTTCTTTCTCTTATAATAGATATTTAATTGTAAAAAGTGACAATTGATGTGTTTTTGCAGAGGTTGCCATATGTCCCAACAACAATGAGATCCAGGTGCACAAGCGTACTTCATCCGGCTGGAAATTGCTGGAGACTTTGAAGGAACATCATATGGCTATCACGGGAATTGACTGGGCACCAAAGACCAATCGCCTAGTCACCTGTTCTGCGGATAAGAACGCCTATGTATGGACGCAGAAAGAAGATGGCAAGTGGGATCCCGCATGGGTTCTCCTGCGAATAAATCGTGCTGCTACTTGTGTAAAGTGGTCTCCTCAAGGTATAGTATACATTTGCAGAATTATTATTATTATTATTATTATAATTATTAAAACTTCTTATTCTATTTTATATAAAAACTATCTTTTTTTTTTGTAGAAAACAAATTTGCAGTGGGCTCTGGGGGACGAGTTATAGCTGTTTGTTACTTCGTGTCAGAGAATAACTGGTGGTTATGTAAACATATAAAGCGCCCATTGAGGTCTACGGTGACTACCGTCGACTGGCATCCGGACAACAAGGTTCTGGTTGCTGGATCTACGGACTATAAAGTCCGCGTTTTCAGTGCATTTATCGGTGATATGGAGGATGCTCCTGGCATGAGTTCTTGGGGGAAGAGTAATACTTTAGGAACATTACTGGCTGAGTTTCCTAATACACCCAATGGAGGTAATATATAATTTATTTTGATTTTGTCTAATTAAAATTTATTATTTGTATTATTCAGGAATGCAGATGCAGTTATTTATTATTACTTATTGAAATCTGGATTCTAACCCATTGATTTTATATACTTAGGTGGCTGGATACATTCAGTAGCATTCAGCCCATGTGGCAATAAAATCTGTTGGGTGGCGCACAATTCTTCTATATGTGTCGCTGATGCTACTAAAGGAAACGCAGTCGTGAGACTGTATACAGAGCATTTACCGTTTTCCAGTTGCATTTGGATAGGATCTAATAACATTGTTGCTGCGGTAATTGACGTAATTCTTAAAGCCAGCCGACAAAATGTTTGTCGTACTTATTGAAGATTTTTTTTATTTCACAGGGGCATAGCTGTATGCCGATGTTGTATTCCGTAGATGATAACGGACAAATATACTTTGTGTCGAAGTTGGATAACACGCAGAAGAAGGAGATTGCCGGATTGTCTGCCATGCGGAAATTCCAATCGTTGGATCGACAAGCTAGGAACGAGATGAACGATAACGCATTAGACAGTGTGCATCAAAAAACAATCAACTGCGTTCGCCGGGTATCAGAGCATGAATTTAGCACAAGCAGTCTAGATGGACTACTTGTAGTTTGGGACTTAAAGGTAATTTGTGTGCATTATTTCGCCTAGCATTAAGAATAACAATATATTTTAATCAATCTTTTTCTCCTTGTCAAGCTTTTAGAGAATTCCATTGCTGGTCTCAAGATAGCGTAAGCATGAAACTTTTTTTATATTTGAAGATCAGAGATATTACATCTAATACAACGATGTATAAATGTTAAAATGAATACTATACAATTTCTCATTAATCAGTCGCCTCCTTAAATTTCCTACATCATGTTGCAATTCACCCCTTTGAAAAGAAAATTATCTTCTACTCTCTGTGCAGTACGCGGATGAACTATTCAATAATGCATTCTTCTAAAAAGGTAACATTAGCTGCTGACGTCGTTCGCACGTCATCGACCGATACAAGGTGTCTCGGAAAATTGAATCACTGACCTTATGTGCTATATATTGTCTTCTAATTTCGAATTGTTATCTAACTAGAATTATATATATAATTAGATTAAGATAGCAAGATATTTTACTATTCATATCATGATTAAAATAATAGATAATGTGTTCAACAAATATTTGTATATAAATGTTCTTCCATTTTCTACAATGCTGCACCGCATTGTTAACTATTTTATCGACATTTTATTTTATACAATGATACAATTAAACGTTAATTATTTTAAAAAATGTTAATTTAAAATTCTTAAACGTAAATTTTTTAATCTCTAAATTAATTAAAAAATAATTTAGTCTTAAGATATAGAAAATCAATAAATTACAGTAGTTTTTATTTTTATCATAAAATTGTGTATAAAATCGGAGAATAATTTTTCAATTTTATTGCAAATAATTCTTAGAAATAAAGAGAGAAAGAGCTCTTATTTGATTTAAATAACTTTCAAACAACATGCTTATGTCATAATCTTTTCACTTAAAAATATATCAATGTTACCATTAAAAATATACTTCTAGGTTCTTTATCTATTGTACTTATTTCCACGCTGATCCGATTTTCGAAGCGCTGAGTGTAGAGGAATGTACCAGCTGAGGGATAAAGCGAGTTGCATATAACCAGGCGCGCTATGTCGAGCGGTTCGTCCGCCGACAGGCGTAAATGGCTATCACGCGACTGGAAGGTAAGTGAGGGTGGGGAAGAGACAGGCGGACAAGTTCAGCGGCGCAAGTATCGATTCAGTCCCGCACAAACCACCCCTGTGTGTTGTCGCGAGCGCTGCAGCGACAGCAGCACACTCGAGTTTCGCTTTCGCCATGCCCACTGTTGACACATAAACACAAGCGCGCGGCGACGTGAAAAAACGCTGATACAAGGTGGCCCGTCGTCGTCGTCGCTAAGAACACACAGCAAAACAAACGGAATATCGTTCACGTCGCCGTCATCGTCTCACGCCAATCGGATATCTCGCAAACTACGTGCCGGATTGTATGCCGCGCCAATCGCGATTATTGATTCTCTCAGGCGGTGTGTTTTCGTTTTTTCTTTCTCTTTTTTCCACCCTTTTCCGACAGATAGGATCGTCGTCGCGCGGCGCGACGCAACGCGTGCCGAAGGAGTGGAGGGGAACGTGGCGTGAATCACACGCGCGCCGCCGTCATCCCTCCGTGGACGCCGTTCACTCGCCCGTGAGCGCGTCGTAACACGACGACGAGTGCCGCCGGCGCGCGGCGTCATTCGCAAAGGGAGGACCGTCGCCACGTACGACCACCGACGTCGCGGCCGTCGGCCATCGAATATGACGCGGCCCCGTCACCCGCTGAGAGAACCGTGTTACTCTTGACTACCAACCGCGGCTACCGTGAGACGCGCGCGACAAGTGCGGGACGAGACGAGAGCTGAGGAGCGTCCGATCGTGATATCATGTCTTCGATATCAGCACAGGGCGTCGTCGAACGTGCCAGCGCCGAACTGACGAAGCGAATTAACGGCCTGGGATTGCGGACGTCGAAGCATCATGGTCGGTGGTGAAACGACCTTCCTTCTCTTCACCGACACCACTATTCTCTGTTCACCCCGCGTTCCCATCTCCATCTTTATCCACCTGCTTCTTCCGTATGTATCTTCTGTATTATCGCCGTCACTTCCACCACTTGCTCGTAGCAGCGTGCGTAACGCGGCGCGTCGCGTAGGCCTCGCGTAGAATCCGCGTCGGCTTCGATTTTCTTTTTTCTTTTTTTTTTTTTCGCGTGGCACTATCGGGTACAGGGACGACGAAGGGTGATACCATCCGTACGGATCGGTGTCAAGTTTATCTTCCGCTTGAACGGCGGCGGAAAATAAAAGCGAGGGGTGGCCTCGCGATTTTCCTCGCTCGGCGCGCTTCGGCACTGAACCCTTCAGTTCGGTTCTGTTGTTACGTAATCACGATAAAGGACTGATCTCTTTGTGAAAGCCTGTCTCTTGCGCCTTTCGTCGTTCCTTTCCTCGCCCCCGCTTTTTTTTCTCTTTTTTTTATTTATTTATCCATAACGCGTCGGCGATACGCGTCGCGTTTGCGAGCGCGGGGCAACAAAACTCCCCCGCCGTTTAATTCACGCATGCAATATTTTCTCTATAATTTATTAAGCGGCTACGTGACTTTCGTCGTCGCAATCTTAACTGCAGCGGAATCAATAGCATACGTCCTCGTGCACGCGAAAATAGTGGCAACGCGCGCGGGCTCGGCTGCAACGAGACGCTTTAGAGCCGTATTTACTCGGCCCGTTCAGCGTCGCGTTACGCTGGCCGGCCTGATCCGTTCGATCGATAGAAAAGATCGCATCTAAGTAACTACGATTTAAGGATTAAGCGGAGATTAAATGGATCGTAGGCGAAATTAAACGCGCCAATCCTGAATCGCATTGGCTTTTTTCCCTTGCTAAACGCGCGTCGTGTCGGACGATTGATCGCCGCTTTCGGTGGTTTAAAGATGCCGTTTCGATACGCAAATAGGAAATTACGGTGACTGGACGGACGCCAGCTCGATGGCCAGGTCGCCAAAAGCAACCAATCACTCATTCTAATCAGAGACGAACTTGGTTTTAAATAATGAAAAAGGCAATCTTTCAGTTTGTTTTATTTAAATTTGTGCTCCTAAAATCTTTTTAGCTCACATCAATATATAATGTTGATACGAAATTTAAAAGAAACTAAACTGTTAACTACTTGAAGAATAATTAGAATAACTAGTTCAAAATAATACATATTTCCTTGAATTTAAAATAAATATATATATAATAATTGTACATAATTTCATTTTATTTCACAATAAAGATAAAATATAAGTTAAATGTAGGAATGTAGGAAAGATAAAATATAAGTTATTATAATTGTTGAAGCTAGACTTTTCACTCGAATAAGAAACAATATTTTTGTCGCTATTTCTGAAAATATATTGCTCAAGTAAATTTATGGTTTCCGTAAGATTTATGTAATTATGTAATTTATGGTTTATGTAAGATCATTCGATGTTAAGAGAGTGATACAAACGTGAAAATACGCTATTTAAAAACTCATAAATTCTAATATAATTAATAGCTAATAACTATAATTTATCCATCAATCAAGAATTTATCTTGCAATTATTCATGAACAAGTGCTTTCGTGTTTAAATATTTATTTCGAATTTTATCTTTTATGCGAAATGTTTTATGTATTGGGCTTGAAATGTTCTAAATCGGTTACTGGGCCAAATCAATTTGCGCGTACAGAGCCAATCGGAAGTCTCTCCAGTTTGCATTATTCACTACAGATGATTCTTCGCGAAGTTTGTGTTCATTACAAAGGCGTTGCACTTCGTTCTTTACAATCGATCGGAAAATTTCAGAATGCAAATTTAACATCACGAATTCTAGAAGTGTGTATAAAAGTTTTAGAAATATTATCTCGCGTATTACGAGCCATTACACGCAGTTAGTTGACTTCGCCATGACTCGCGAAAGATAAAACTTTTAAATGCAGTTACTAAAAATAAAAATAATTTGCAAGATAAATGGCGAACAGGAAATAGCGGTGCGCCGCGAGCCAAATAGGACGTACAGCTTGGAAATAAAACCAGAATATCTAGAAGTCCTAAGTAATCTATCACCCCAGATTTCTCTCTAACACAGTGAAAAGTTATGGTATAATTATGCTAATAGCGTCGACTTAAGTTGCTGGAAAATTCTCCTTTTGAATTCACGCGATGAATCAGTTTCGTATGCTTATACGTCTATTCCGTAGTAAAAATGCCAAGTGCGTCTCTGAAAGAATTCGGGTACTTGAACTATTCGCATTTTACTGTCGTTTGATGCGTCTTGCTTCCGTGATATTCTAAATTCTGTAAACCCCTTTTCTATAGATTCGAAACTTGCATGGATTCTTAGTTTTTAATTTAACAGATTCTTACTTTTGCAGCTCTTCATATTTCAATGAACAGTTTCATAAAATTCTACATATACAACAATTTTTTATACATTATTATTCTCTTGGCTCTTTTTAATTCCCCTGATATTATCACAGATTTTTATTCTCATAAATTTGTAGCCTCGTAGATTCTTGATTTCTCAACCACATTCGCAGTTCCAAGATCTCTTATTTTCGTAAGAGTTTTTCCGATCTCTACTGTTAAATCTGTAAACACTTTATTTCTCTTAATTATGTATTGAAATTTAAATTTTCTAGGTAGCGGAAAGACCAGTGTTATGGAACGCGTGACGAATGTTTTCTGTGGCGGTAGCGGCAGTGTGGCTTACATGAATTTACAAAGTGCGAATAATGCGAACGCAACACCTGAGAAACCTAGTCGAAGCACCGTGCAAACCATTAACAATGTGCCAGCGGGCAACAACAAAGAACGTTTGAACAATGTCACCCCAAGTAGAGGCAGGATATCCAGAAACAGAATGAAAATGGCCGTTCCTCTAGCCAGCGGTGGAACGGGCGGCTATGTGCCGCCGACCACGTGGGAACAATTGATGCTGGACGACAATTTTCTTGGAAAATTTTTTTTCTATTTCAGCGCCACGGAAAGAAGAATCTTGGCCCAGGTACATAACAAGCGAAAGAGCTTTCTATTTTAATTCATAATCGACGTGCAAACGAAGTTTGGCTTTGGCTCAAATTTTCATAGCTTAACGTTGACATGAGTTTTCAAAAGAACTTTCGAAATATTCGCTTTGGTTCGATTTTTTTTCAAACGTCCTCGATTTTCCACGTATCTTTGATAATATTCCACATCCCCTTAGATAGAGAGTTGTCGCATAACGCCGTCTTTGTCATAACTTCCGCTTTTTAATCATATACATACCCAGCTTAATCGCGTTATTATCGTGGCACGCAGGTTTGCACGAGATGGAGAGATATTCTGTATGCGAGACCGCGTTTCTGGACGGGGCTGGTGCCTGTGGTGCGATGCCGTGAGGCTCGCGCTATGCAGCCAAACTCGCGTACCCGGCTGTATGCCACCTTGGTAAGGAGAGGCTTCGACACGTTGGTCCTCCTAGGCGCGACCGACGAAGATATTCCGGAGTTGACGCGCGGTTTTCCGCTGGCACAGCGATACGTGCACTCCTTGTCGTTGCGGTGTTGCGCAGTAACGGACAGAGGTCTTGAGGCTCTGCTGGATCACCTACAGGTAAATTCGCCACGTTTTATTTATATGCTGTCTGCTGTACGGGCTTTAAATAAACTAGAAATGTTTATCGCGAACTTGAATTTATCGCCAATAAGCGGAATTGAGAATCATAATGTTTAAGCGTTAAAATGATTGATCTTGAAGAAATAATTAAAATGACTAAAAAGAAGATTGAAAACATGTTTTTAAGCCTCGAATTCGATATTAATTTTTATTATGAACGTCAAAATAATTCATTGCAAGTGTAAAATTACATTAAATCCAAGAGAAATCGACAAATAAATTCTTACGTAATATGAATTACTCTGTGTGCTTTTGTTCGAATGTTTTGTTAAGGATCGTATTCTCCGGCGATAACAATGCGAAAAATGTACAACATATATATTCCTCGTATTATTGATCAACTTTTATTCGACCGCTGTTTTGTTTGGACGGAAGTCGCCATTTTATCTGGACAGAGACAATCCGCGGCTCAAAAGCTCGATAGTTAAAAGCGCAGAGAACTCAGCGGAATTCACTCAACTTGTCGAGTGACACGGCACAAATCGACTAATAATCTGTCATTATTTTTAGGCTTTGTACGAGCTTGAGTTGGCCGGCTGCAACGAGATAACGGAAGCCGGTCTGTGGGCATGCCTCACCCCCAGAATAATATCGTTGTCTTTGTCGGACTGCATCAATGTCGCCGATGAGGCTGTCGGCGCCGTAGCTCAGCTATTGCCGAGCCTTTATGAATTCTCTCTGCAAGCTTATCATGTTACCGATGCTGCGCTTGGTTACTTCAGTGCGAAGCAAAGCAGCGCACTCAGCATCTTGAAACTGCAATCCTGCTGGGAGCTCACAAATCACGGTGTAGTAAATATTGGTAAGAATTCTCACTTCTCTGTTTTGTTGGTTTGATATTTTTTGGGCAAATTTATTTTTTTTTACATTTGCAATATTTGATACAGGGATATTATATGATGATATAATAATAATAATTTGAATACGAAAATACAAATGTATCTACTTTGATCAATATTATTTTAATTTAAAAAATGATAAAATATTTGAAATTTGATCTAAATCAATGAAATTCACTCTTCGATTGAAATAAAATGATAACGATGTACAAGAAATAATAATTATACGCGAGATGTAGAATTATTTTTGTGAAATGTGGGCTGCTTGCCAGTTTTGACTGAGACTCTGATCGGATGACAAAGGTTAAACGAGATGTACAATAGTGATAGACTGAAATTAAAGCAGGTGCATACGTGCTTGTGATTAAAATTAGAATTAAGGAACACAGCTTTATTTAGCTTTCAAGCTGTCACCGGTAGACTTGAGTTATAATGAGCGTGTTACAAGATAAACGTGTGCACCTTGCGTACAGTAATCCATTATTTAAGCAAAAAGTTACTAAGAAAAATTGCATAATAATAAAATTTTATACTTCACATCACTTGTACTTCAAGTGACTTCGTTCTCGTGAGAAATTTATTTCTTTAATGACTTTGATAAAATAATTAAAATGGAAAATTATACTTGATACGTACGTGTCAAATTAAATGTCCGTTTCAAATTCAGACATGAAACCAATAATTCAATATCCAATTTATGCTCTTTATAACTTCTAGTTTGAAAATACTGAAACTGAAAATGATATAATATAATATTTTATATCTAATTATTATATTATAAATATATTTAACTATTATAACATAAATATTTTATATCTAATTTTCTATGATTTAAAGGTAATACTATATATATATATATATATATATATTCTTTTACATTGTTTGTATAATTCAAAGATATCAAATTAATGTATAATATTTCTCTTTTTTTAGTACATTCCTTGCCCAATCTGACTGTGCTATCGCTTTCTGGATGCAGTAAAGTAACGGACGACGGCGTTGAATTAATCGCGGAAAACTTGCCAAGACTTCGTTCCTTAGATCTGAGCTGGTGCTCAAGAATTACAGATGCAGCCTTAGAATATATTGCCTGTGATTTGAATAATTTAGAAGAACTCACGTTAGATAGGTAAGGAAAAATTATAGAAGTACAACTTTCCAAACAACAATTTGACGGCAAACATATAATGCATCTACAAATTACTTTATTTTCATATAAAATACGGAAAATTGTTATACTGCCATATTTTACTACATCAAAGCATCGTATTTTATAGATGGATATACACTTTTTTTTATTTGCATAATAATAAAGTTACCGAAATAATATTGTTTCGCTCAAAAAATTGAATAGCTTTTATAAAGTATCTTTTAGAAATCTATCAGTTATCTAACAAGTATTTATCTAGGCATTCTATTTGAGCTCGTGCATTACGTAATGACTGATTCATGTGTCACAAAGTGTCAGAAAGCTGTTAAATGTCCACGATTACTTTTAGCCAAACGACTATTGCCAGTAAATCTTTTTTATTTCTGTCATATAATTTATAGCACTGCATATCTTGCATCGTATTTTTCACACTTTTGCGCAGGTGTGTACACATCACGGACATTGGCGTTGGTTACATTTCCACGATGGTATCGCTGAGCGCATTATTCTTGAGGTGGTGTTCGCAACTTAGAGATTTCGGACTTCAACATTTATGCGTCATGAGATCTCTGCAGGTGTTGTCCGTGGCAGGTAAGGTCACATATATACTATCTGAATCATAGTTTTATGCAATCTTCTTTGTGCGATGCAACATGCAACATTTTGCATGAAAAATCACAACATAAAGTTTACATTATAAATATTTTATAACTTTATTTATAACTTTAAATTTATTTATAACTCTAAATTATTTATAACTTTACTTCTTATCTTTGAAAAAATAAAAATATTTTTTATATATGTATAAATACAAGTGATATTTAATGTATACAATTTATTTATATCTAATAATTAGAAATTGTGAAAACATTGTATTTCAAGAAATATTATAATTTAAAATATATATAATAACTTCACATTATATATAATTATATATAATTTGTTGCAATTTATACAGTTATATATAATTTGTTCTTATTTATTAATTATATTCTCGATCTGAGAATTAATATGAGACTCTTGCACAAAAAAAGATTGAATTAAACTAATCTAATTACTTTATCTGTGTAATATAAGGACTTCTACTAAACAAGATTCAATTTTGTACAGGTTGCCCATTGCTCACAAGTAGTGGTTTATCTAGTCTGATACAGCTTCGACACTTACACGAGTTAGAATTAACCAATTGTCCAGGAACGTCGCGAGAACTGTTTGATTATTTACGTGAACATCTACCGCGTTGCCTAATCATCGAATAAACGATATTTGATAAGAGCACAATATCCGCGAATAAAATTCCTTTACATGCGGATGTATGTGTGAAACGGAAAGTGTTTAAACTGCGAGAAAGCAATATTTCGAACAAAGAATAGAGGTAGGCGAGCATTGTGTATAGATAAGAAACAACTGACGTCCAGATAATGAAAGAACATTATGTTTTCCTCATAATGGTCTAAGAGAAACACTAGCCCTAAAATGTGCAAAATATAACGCATAGACATTTTTAATACATTAACGTCCCATGTTGCACTTCCGTTCGTATTTTTTCATTCTGCCACGCAATCACATTATGGACACGCGATCGTGTCTGTATCAGTTACACGAGGCGGAAAGTGAAACTCTCATGCCCATGTATTGTTGTAATGATCTTGTACAGTGAATTCGATATTGTACATTAGAAGAGATTGATAACATCAGAAAGAAGAGATCGACGAGTCCTTCTTTTTGTCTTCTAGTCATGTAGAAAGTCCGAGTAAACATACGACAAGAGACTCAACAGTTAGAACTGTGATAAATTTATATTGTATGTAATTTTAATTGGTCCGCATATACGCAAATCTAAACAATTATATCATTGAGCGCATTCGACGGACACGACAGTCGCGAAAGTAGTCGAGTAGTGAATCTAGGAGTATGAGCCGCGATTAGATTTTAATTGTTGCCCGATTATTTTTCACAGCAAAATAATCGGACAACGCGTCCTCGTCGATACGCGCATTCAGTGGGGACAATAGTCGAACAACAATGTTAAATGTAATCAGTAATTAAATACAAACGGTGTATGTTTCTATATTCACTACTCAATGTAACACATTCCAGATCACATTATCCGGCAATCTATTCATGTGTAGGCATATATGAAACAATGTCGGGGACACAGGCGATTACTCTTACCGTATTATTATTTATTCTCCGCATTAGTACTCTTCTGTATCTAATGACGCTGCACCTACACATGAATGATTCGTGTTATTTGTTTGATAATGCGTGTTGTAGACGAAGATTGAAGCTCACAGTTATTGAACCCAGAATATGTAGTAGCATCGTCATCCGTACGTTATCTTTATATATACATATATATATATACATATATATCTCCGTGCAATCAGTGTTTTCTAAATTTAAGACTTTCCGCTAGCTGTATTCTTTGTGATTTCCCATTAAGTATATATTTAAGTATATATTTATATAACATAAATTAGACAAGATGTTTCGCATCTTTTAAATGGATAATATAATTTGAATAATTTATTACGTGGATATGTCGTATTGTATACCTTTGATTGGCATGTTATGTCAAATAACTAGATTATTAACAATCCATAATTTGTAACTAAATAAGTGTATTGTATTAATCAATTTTAATCGAGCGCTGTACATTTGAGTTATGCATTAGGCAAGAATAACGAGAATAAGATCACAGAATGTGTCTTGATTTATATCTATCGCATCATTCGTCCTTAGAATGCAATTGTAAAGATGCAGTGCGATATATATTGTGCGCATTCATAACGGATCCATTTTTTAAATAATTTTATTACAAATGTATCTTATACGATACATTAATGATTAACGGTTGCAGCAATTTTGTTAAATTGAATTATACATAATCCCTCAGAGCAATTCGATAGTACAGATATAATTTTTATGTATTGTCACACATGCTTAGCACATGATATCTTTGTATATATTGTACAAATTAAACCTGATAATTCTGTTATCAATCAAAACTGAGCATAAATATATCCGCACAGATAAAGTTGTACTGAAAAGCCAACTCACCATTGTGAAATACCATTCACAGATGCAACATTTAATGACAACACGATAATATGATGGAATGTGCTGTGAAATAAAAATTTATTGACCACAAATCATTGTACTTCTATAATTTATTTCACTTAAAAATATAATAAAAATTATGTATTTTGCCACCAGGTAAGTAAACCTAGACCAGATTCGTCAATTGAGCCCTGCAAAACACATCAGTACTTTTATATTATTGGAATTAAGAGCAACATGTTGATTAATGTAACATTGAAGATTCATAAATGTATTTACATGTAAAACATATGGTGCTTTGTTTTTAGCTTCTGGCTTCCCATCTACATCGCGAGATGCATTAGGTGCAGTTGGTAAAGGTGTCTCTTTGAAGATCTCCTTAACTACTCTGAATCGTATCTCTTCTCCTAAAATTTAATATCAATTTTATGACATGTCTCAAAACCAATACAGTAAGATTATTTTGATATTGAGGTAAGATTTACCTTGATCCATAAATAGATCGTGTGTTTCTCCATCTGCAGTTTTATATATCCAAACCCAAGCCTGTTCCATTTGATCAAAACGTGATGGATGTTGTAACTTGTGAGGTGGTATGATTATATCTTCAAAGAATCCTAACGTGACTGCAAAAAATGTAAATATTGATGTGTGTCCAATGACATGTGCACCAAAAATAGTATTAACTGATTCTACTAAATCAAATGATTACCATGTACACCCTCGGGACTACAAGAGCGGATCTTTCCTATTAATATTTCTTCCATCCATGGGCGAAATACAATAAATCGAAATGTTACTTTTGTGTGGGAAGCTCCATCTCCTGGGAAAATATATGATTCTTCTATCTTTGTAATATCGTATAATGCAATGCATAGACCTACGTCTTTGTAAACCTGTAATAATATTGATCATAATTTTATCGACAATAATAAAATCTTAATTATAAAAAATTAGTTTACCTTATTAGCGAGTTTTTTATTTAATTCATCAGCAATGACATCGTTCAATTTGCATTTAAAACTGCTGGGAAGTATTCTAACGGTATCCTTTAATTCCACGAGCACAAACATTTTTATTTTTAAATAATTTATATACTACACATGTGTACAACATGAAACACACGAAATCTTGATGCGACAACACTCCAGCCACTCCAATCATGCGCTTTACGGAACTCAGCCATGGTTATATCTAAGGTCTGTTCTTTATAGCTGAACTGGCTGCACTAGTTCAGAGTTTATCTTTTTCTCTCCATATTGAAAGGAGAAAGATAAACTCTGAACTAGTGCAGCCAGTTCAGCTATAAAGAACAGACCTCAAGATATCTTCAATGTCAACATGCCTGAGCGTACAACTTTTTGACAACCTGATTGGACAACTTTAGACAATTCCTATTTAAAAATTATTGCAGTTTCGACATTTTGGTATTAAATATTTTTAAAATAATATTTAATCATATTTAGTTTAAAGG